TTAGGAACATTCTGATGGCTCTGATATTTCCCTCGCTCCAGTAGAATATCCACTTCCTGTGTTTCTGCCACGATAGAAGACTGCGATGTTTCCGAAGGACCAGGAAGGATCTTCATTTCTGGTTTAACTTCATTAGACGTGGATTCGTGCCAACTGTGGAGCCCGGAATCTTCGTCATCTCCATGGCCGTCTCGAAGTTTGATCACGTATATACGTAAGAGAAGCAGAGCGCACAACACAGGCAGCAACCTCCTGATGCCTCGTCGTGTAACCATTCCGCCGATATTACGTAACTTGCGTCATCAAAGGTAATGTTTCCCTCGGCTTAATTATGAAAGAGTGGTATTCTCTTCCCTACATGTACGTAGCATCCTGCAAACATAATGAGTCGTTAACATAATTATCGGATGGTAGAGTGTAATTATGAATATATTTTTTTCATTAAGCAATTAAACGCACATATGGGAATACCCATGATGTACATTAGGACATAAATGCACACATAAAATAAATACACATATTTATCACACAAATTTCAGCACGCAGGCAAATAAACACATTCAGACTTCCCATATGCACACATGCAGGCTATTATGCTCCGAAAAAATACACATGCATACAATTTAAGCAAGTAAATTTAAACTAAAAAATACATCAATACACAAAACACACAAAAAAATCATTAAACATACACATAAAAATACTAGGAGTTTTACAATGGAATTAATTTTCTAATAGTTTAAGAGTACTTAACAATTACATACCTTTGATGAGTGACACTGAACATTATCACCATTAGTCAGGGAAATTACATTTTTGTTCATTATGGACTATATGCCATTTATGTTCAAAATGGACTAAAAACATAAATTTCAGCAAATAGTATGAACACTAATAAACAGAATCTAAACTCACATTAAAGGGCCTCTGACCGTATCTTATTTACTGTGTGTGTGTGTGTGTGTGTGTGTGTGTGTGTGTGTGTGTGTGTGTGTGTGTGTGTGTGTGTGTGTGTGTGTGTGTGTGTGTGTGTATGTATGTATGTGTGTGTGTGTGTGTGTGTGTGTGTGTGTGTGTGTGTGTGTGTGTGTGTGTGTGTGTGTATGTGTGTGTGTATGTATGTGTGTGTGTGTATGTGTGTATGTGTATGTATGTATGTGTGTGTATGTGTATGTGTGTATGTGTATGTGTGTATGTGTGTGTGTGTATGTGTGTGTGTGTATGTGCGTGTATGTGTGTGTATGTGTGTGTGTGTGTGTATGTGTGTGTATGTGTGTGTATGTGTGTGTATGTGTGTGTATGTGTGTGTGTGTGTGTGTGTGTGTGTGTGTGTGTGTGTGTGTGTGTGTGTGTGTGTGTGTGTGTGTGTGTGTGTGTGTGTGTGTGTGTGTGTGTGTGTTATGGTATTTTAGAAGGCAATGATTTATATTGCATACTTCTCAGTTTTCTGCCAGAATACATCCTTCACTATATCACAGTCTAAACCAAACTGACCTGTAGTGTGACGACAGCCCATGGCTGCATCTACTATTCCAGCACAGCATTGCTAGTGTTTTGACCTGCGTCCAACCGTACGAGTGATGATCACTGAGGTTATAACGATTCTCCGATGAATGTCTACACCTTTGTATCTTAACGAAGAAACTGATTATTCACAATTAAAAAGAGGCATTCATAGTAACCCCAGTACACTTTCGAAACTTGGAACAGAGATATGCTGTGTCTGATGAGCAGACAGGTATCACTAGGGTTTGGCGCTAACGCTATCCGGGACGGAACTGGAGGGCGGCGGCAGGTTATCCCTGATCGGGTAGGATGAGGGGGTATGATTGGATCTCAGTTTCACAGATCTTTATCACCATTATTAATTGTGCATGATAAATTTGTTTAGAAATTTATGATCATACACCTGGAACATGTAAGACATGTGAGACAACGGAAAGAAGACAGTTATAATGTTGAATACTGTATTTCAGTCATATCTGCATTCAGATTGATGATACAACTTTTGCTAAATTGATTTTCATTATTTCAATAAACATAATAAAAGTAGGAAAAGTTATGACCCCCCCCCCCAATAACGGTACCGCCACCGGGTCAGTGCCCGATAATATAGAAAACGGAATTCCAGTTTTCAGGGAAAACTCATGCGATTTCTATTTCACTATGCGTAAATCTACTATATAAGATATTTTAACATTGGTAATTATAACAGTGACTTTAGATTTCGTGACATATTATATATTCTATACACTTTTATGCTGAATAATTTATACCAACTTATACTTACAAGCACAATTTATTTATGAATGTGAGTTTACAAGTATGCAGAATACATATCTGTATAATATATATATATATATATATATATATATATATATATATATATATATATATATATATATATATATATGTGTGTGTGTGTGTGTGTGTGTGTGTGTGTGTGTGTGTGTGTGTGTGTGTGTGTGTGTGTGTGTGTGTGTGTGTGTGTGTGTATGTG